TTGAATTAATTTTTAAAAATACAGAAAATGTTTGTATTAATCATAATATTATTATACCTCCTATTAAAAATAGGAAAATATCTAAAAAAAAATAGATAATGCTACCCAAACACAGCATATTTTTAAAACAAAGTATGATGAAATGAGAGTGAATGTTTACAATACAACTTTAGATACATTAATAAATGGACTGGACTTAAGATTTAAGCAAGAAACATTAGACATAATAAATATAGTAGGTAAACTTGTGAATTTGGATATTAAAATAGAAAATTAAACACAGAATTTGACCTATTGAATAAATATTTCCATATTTCGAAAGAATCATTAATTTCTGAGATAACCCTTTTGAAACAATTAGAAGATACTCCTAAAGGTACTTGCTCTGGTTCTGTTTATAAGTGGCTTGACTGGTTAAACAAATGTGATCGATCAAATATTTTTAATAATTTTTTTCTGTGTTTAAAAATGTTTGTTATTATCCCTGTCACGAGTTGTGGTTGTGAGAGGAGTTTTTCTAAATTTACCATTGTTAAATGCAAACTTAGATCTACCATGACACAAGATAGACTAAATGCATTATTGTTTCTATTTGTCGAACAAGAATTAACTTCTTCTGTAAATATTGAGAGTGTAATTGATGAATTTAAAAATGTATTACCTGTAGAGCGTAGATTAGTATTATAAGTTTGTGAAAAAAGTGTATGAATGTTTAATAAGAGGTTTTATTGTTTTATTTACAACCAATTGTTATTACTTTAATTATTATTTTTTAAATATATGCTTTATATTATTATTAATGTTTGTTTATTTTATCATATTATAAATAATATTATTAACTATAGGCTTGTGGAAAAGTACACATTAAGTGGCTTAGTACCTTACTGTACAACTGTTTATCCAAATAAACAAATAATCAATACAACTTTAATTTTGATACCCAATAGCAAAAATAGTAAAACTATGGACTGGGTTTAATGGTGAATTTGAAGAATGGGCCGAATTAATCTCTTGCTACCCCTGAAAACGGAGTCTGCGCAAGCCTATGCTAATAAGTTTACAAACAAACTTTAATGCACGGTTTGAAGATTTCCCAGAAGAAAGTCTAGGTTGTGACAAATTCATAGCTTTACACTTTCCAAGCATATCAATCTGAGAGCTGCGAATCTCTGCGATAGAGTGATGAAGATCATCCATGGTTACAGGAGCCGAAGCTTTTTTATTAACAGTTGCAGATCTAGTATTAATTTGTGATGATTTTATTGGGGTTGGAGACATAATGCAGATTTAACGACAAAAGTAGATTAAAATAATAAAGGAATAGGTAAGTTAAGGGATAATTTGAAAATAAGGTAATCACTTGACTCACGGTGTATAAGTGATTGCGTCGTTTATAAATGCTTCTAGGCACACAGTGTATATGTCGCACGTATGTGGCCCGTATCGCGTCGGGTTAGGTATTAACGGGCGGCGGGAGATTGCATGGCCGAGTCAACCAGAACACACGATAAAAACTTTTAAAATAACTGACGGATGTGTATTTCAACAAATACCAAGAAAAACTGCCCTTAGAGGGAAAATTTTGAGCAGACCGACTCGAAACCGACACCGGTCTACGCGCGCACTTTTTATAGAACAGTTAAGAAATAAAACGTAAAACACGACCAACTGTAACCTGAGAAAATGTAGAAAAACTGGGAGCGATATTGTTGTTATCCAACGCATCACCAACTAAATTTAACGAACGTTTACCATTAATATTTATAATATAGGTGGTTTATATAATAATAAAAACAACTACACGGTTAGAAACTCCAAGACACGAACAACTAAGGTCTAAGATAGTAATTTATAGTGATAACAAAATCTAAATCAGAAATTCATTATTTCAATCTCAATCGTTACATAATATGTTGTATGTATTATGTAATTATGTTATGTTAATATAAACATATTGTTAATCTATAGTTTATTATTTATTAATTTTTATATTTGTTATTGTTAATATTTAAATATGCATGAGACTAGTGAAAGTGACTTTGATGATCCACATTATGCAAGTACTTCAAAAACAAAAAAAAGAAGCAAAATCATAGAGCTCAAAAATTTAGAGACGAATGGTTCAACATTTCAGAGTTAAAATCATGGTTGCTTCCAGTTGAAACTGATCTGTATAAAGCTAAATGCAAAGTTTGTAATATTATAATGGTGGGTGAATTGACCAAAATAAAAATGCACGGTAAAGGTATAAAGCATGAGCAAAATTGCAAGCAGTTGAAAAAACCCATATCAACATTCTTCAAAAAAGCACCAACCCATTTGAATGCTGATGTTTCTAAAGCAGAAATAAAACTGTCCGCCTTCATAGCAGAACACAATGTTTCATTTATGGCAATGGATCATTTTTCTGATCTCTTTAAAGATATATTTCCAGATTCAAAAATCACCCAACAAATAAATCTTAAAAGAACTAAAACAACAGCGATTATAAAAAATGTGATCGGAGCTTCGCATAAAGATAATCAAAACAAGATAAACAATTGATGAAAACTAAATTTAGCATTCTGACTGATGAATCCACAGACATAGGTACAGTGAAAACATCTTGTATAGTAGTGAGGTAAAATATTAAAAATTCAAAATAATAGACAAATAATTTAGTAATTAAATAATCTTTTAAATGTACTATTTTCAGATTGTATGATGAATTAACCAAACATGTGGAATCAAAATTTTGGGAATTGCTTGATGTGTTTGATATCCCAACTGACAAACAACCAGAAGCGACAGCTGAACATTTATTCAATTGCCTGATTGAAACATTGAATCGTTATAAAATTCCATTAGATAATATAATTGGATTCGGCTCTGATGGTTGCAATGTAATGATGGGTTCTAAGAAGTCAGTAGCAACTAGATTTCGTCACATGTGTCCAGATATTTTTATAATAAAATGTATATGCCATAGTGCAAAATTTATGTGCATCAGAAGCGTGTAAAAAAATACGAAGATCGTGTGAGGATATGGCTCTTAATATCTTTAATTTTTACACAGCAGTTCTAAACGGCAAAGTACATTAAAACAGTTCCAATTGTTTATAGATCTTAAACCAAAAAAAATTTTACACCCTTCACAAACAAGATGGCTTTCTTTAGAAGCTGTAGTAAACAAAATTTTGGAGCAATGGGAAACCTTAAGATTATATATCAGTGATACGCATTTGGACCAAAAACTTCTTTCGACGGAACAGATTTATAATTCTTTAAATGATAAATTCATAAAATTATATTACTTTTTTTTAGCATGGATACTACCCAAATTTAATGAGTTTAATAAATATTTCCAAACTCAAAAAGTTGTCATCAATGATCTGCATGATAAAATTAGAATATTATATCAGGAAATCTTACTATCGTTTTTAAAAAGAAACTATGTAGTGCAAAATGATCTCAGTAGTGTGAGACCTGATGATGGTGAACACCATCTTCCTGATAATCAGTTATATTTAGGTGCTCAAGTTCTCAAATACATAAATTTACCTGGATTAGCAAACAAGAATGAAGAGAAAAAAAACTTTTTCAAGAGTTGTAGACATTTTTTGCAAACCGCTAAAGAAACGATATAATATGGGCAATCCAGTATTGAGTAAGCTGCCATCATTGAGTGCAAAAAATGCCCTATCCATCGAGTACCATGATTCGAATCCAACTCTCGTTCCATTAATATCATTAATGACAAGAATAGTGCCAGAAAACAATGTTGAATTAATTGAAAAGATAGATGACCAGTGGCGTAGTCTTTCATTAAAAATGATGCACGTGCCTAGCTCTATTATTGATTTACAATATGCCAATGATCTCCTGATATGTTTTGATAATTATATAATTTTTTTAAGTAAAGTAGGTATTTTTAATAATTTTAAAATAGTTATTTCAGGTCTAGGATCAAGGATTATGATTTGTAAACTGAAGCAATAGGACAAGAACTTCCAAATTTTGCATTATCAGTTCTTTGTCTACCACATTCCAATGCCGACTGTGAGCGAATTTTTTCCAGCGTTAATGCTATAAAAATCAAGTATCGTAACAAATTAATAACCGTAACCATAAATGGTACTATACTGACAAAAGAGTGTATTAAGGGGGAATATCACAAACACAAAATTGTGTTAACTTTGTTCCTAGTAATTTAATGGTTAATAGAATGACCAGTAATACACTATATTCTAAAAAAGACATCTTATCTGATAATCAATCTGTTGATATATTTTATTCTGCTGATGAATAAAATTATTTTAATTACTGACAACTATATATTTTTATTTCAAAATTAAAAGTATTAGATATGTGCAATTTGTTAACTATACCTAGAAACTTCCTGAATTTCATTAAACGCTACAACAACTGAAGATACATTACATGTTTCAGATTCTAAGATAGATATCCAATTTGCTACTGGTTTTAAAAGATTGCACATAGTTTCAACTTGAACCCAAAATATTGTGTTATCTAATATACTTGTTACTGATTCTTTACTTAATAAATTTACTGATTTATTTGAAATTGCTACTTGCTTTAAATATTGTTTATTCATTATTAAGCTCTTTAAGCTTGCAGCTTCAGATCCCCAAAGTGTAACTACTGGTAGTTTCAATGTTATATTATGACTATTTTGAACATCTTCAGTACTAATACCAGCAGATTGAATTTCTTTAAGCAACCCATTAAGTATATGAGAGTACTTAAACTGTTTAATAATACTTTTAGTTGAATTTTGAATTTTCTTGTAAAAAATACTAATTTAAAGAAAATGCATTAGACAACCAGAATTCTAATAGTAGCTTAAAGCACCATTTTTAAAAAGAAAACTTAGCTAAACGGCAACTAATAATTTAAAACCTTCTGATTGAGCATATTCAGTATAAACATGTATTTAATTGATAAATGAAAACTAAATGAGTAGGTACTAAATCAACTAATAAAATATGTTTTAATTTTTTTATTATCATTTATCAAGTTTTAAAGAGTTGTAAGATTTATTTCAATTAGACTAGATTCATATAAAAAGATAGTTTGTTGATCTTAGCTTTTGGTTTGATAATATATATAATTTTTCAAAAAACACTTATGTAGGTACCTTAATAGGTACTTAATTTAATTTTAAGCCAGGGCAATGATAAAAATATTCACAAAGTAAACCACACATATTTTATACAATTACTTTTAATTTAAATTAATAACTGTTTTTTAAGTTTGTTTTTTATTTTGATATCTATTCTCAAGTTTTCTATGTTTTTAATATTTTATACTATGAAGGTACCTATTGGTAATATAGGTATCATATTCAAAAAAATAGAAATCATAGTAATAAAATCAATCAAAACTAGATAGTGTAAATATACTTACCCTATGTTAGTCCATCCATATAACTGCACAGATATATAATTGGAAGAAATTATTTTTTCTTCGACAACTTTTTCAATTCTTTTGTATTCAGCATTTAATAAATTGTTAGATAATTGATACCACGAAGGTAATCGCAGACATGGTCTAATTTTTTTGAATGCCCTTTGAAAATATATATTTTCAGTAAAACTAAGAGGAGTTCCTGTTGCATAAAAAGCTTTTGCCAAAAGTTCCCAAAAGTTCCCAAATTTCTTTCTAATTAACAAAAATACATTAATCAAAATTACATATAGTACCTATAATATAGGTTGTTACTTAAATCTAACCTCTTCTTTCTGATTTATAAACCTGTCAACAAAGTTTTCAATTTTAGTGTTTTTCAATACATTTCCATATTTTAAACTAATACATGAACTACTTTCAGATGTTGGTACTGAACACGTTTAAGTCTGAGAACAGGATGGAATATCCTGAATATCCATCTAAAAAAAATGTATTAAAATGTATTCATTAAATTAATAATGTCAGATAACAAAACGTAGATATTAAACTTACTTCTTGATGATTAGTTTTTTCGTTACTTAGTCCATCATTGTCAGTATTATATTCATCATAAATAATTGTATTGTCATTTGTTGTTGCTCATTTTTTATTTTTGAATAATTTTTGTATAATAGGCAAGTCAGTTTTTTTTAATTCAATTGAAGTTTTTGTGCATGTAAGCGAATGCTTTGCCATTCGCCAAGAGTTGTAAGCAAAGGTTTGACAACAATAAATACATTCATGGCAATCTAATTTGCCTCTTTTATGTAAATGCTTTTTAAAATATTTATCTACAACTTGTTTTTGTTTCGATAGCCTACCCATATTTAAGCTTAAATCTTCAGAACAAACTATCAAAACAAGAACTTAGGTAATTACTAATTAGCAACCGCAAGAGCCAAGAAGACATTAATGAATTAATAATGATTATTATTTAATATTTTTTAATCTAGAATAAAATGATAATAATATGATTACAGATGAATATGATAATATCAGAATATCTGAATATACAATCACAGAACAAACAGAAGGGAATCCTAAGGCTCATCGAAAAACTGTCCGACATTTCTGAATTTTAAACGTGGTGCCACATACCAAGAAATTCCCTATTTTCTAAGTTTTCTGTGGTTTGTGGCTACACTGTTAGTCGGCAATTCCACTCATAACAACAAAAACACATAGTCAACCATAGATAATATAAGATTATATTATCTATGTGGCCAACACGTCTGTCCATTTTCGTACTCCATCACGGGTACGTCTCGATTTTTTTGCGCTCCTAAGTCTAAAAGTTTTTTGTATTTGCTGTTATTTGCTATTATTTGTTTTGATATTGTATACATTATTTACCGAAATATTGTCTTTAAAAATAAAAAAAATAAATTGAATTTATACTGTGTAATAATATAAATTTTACAGCACTAGAGAGTAGTAAAAGTGAATTTGTGTTATTCCTACTGACTATAGGTACAGGTTATGTAACAATGTCACATACTTCTACCAGTATATTTATTTAGGATAAATCTTCAATTTTTCTTGGCAATTGCGTGTACTAATTACACAAGTACTATATATATAAAAAAAAAATTAGTACTGCTTAGATTATTTAAAAACCAGCGTACGTAATTTGTTTTGTAATCTTCTGTGTACCTATGCATTTTTGTTCATTCATCAACTAAATAATGATGCATAAAATATGTATAGTTTTTGATTTTCTTACATTCTGTACTTAGATAAATGGTAAAAACGCAATTTATTAAAAAAAATCGGTTTGATTGTTTGAATATAATATATTAAAAATTTTAACGAACAGTGTTGCACGATATAAAGAAAAAAAGGGAAATTCCCGGTACGTGGCAGCACGTTTAAAATCTAGAAATGTCGGACGTAGTTTTATCATCTCCCATAAGAGCCCATGTTAAATGAAATAAGATTCCGATCTGTTTGTTCTGTGATACAATAACATCAATAACAATTAACAATATACAGTTTAATAAAGTCGATAAGGATAAAATTACGCAGCTATGGATATTTTTAGAATTAGTACGCGACGGCCAACGGTTAAACATGTAAATGATAATAATAATAATAATAACAATAATAAATGATAATAGTTTTTATCTTTAGTAGTGGTAATAACTAAAAATAACGCCTTATTTGTTTTTATTTAAAGTTAATACAACTGTATTTTACAAAATACAAAAAATAACAAATTTGTTCGTTACAAATACTTAAAATCAGTTAATCTTTATATTTTTTAAATTACTAAGTTATATTATGTTTAATAAAGCAGTGATGTTGGTACTTATATATTTTTCGTGTTCCTTAATAAACCTTTTAAAATTGAAGTGTGTTAAAAGCATTTTAGATGGCTATGATAATATGGAGGTACTCTTATTCAGCTTAGATAATAAATAATGAATAAATAAAATAGGTTTTTTTTTTAGTGTACGAGAATTCTAGTTGAAATACGAGAATTTTGGGAAGCTTGATACGAGATTTTGGCCATAGGTATCTGGCAACACTGCCGCAGTCCCAGTCCGCAGTAATGCGTTTACCATGGTGAGGTGCAAATCGTTCTTTATTTCTCTGGTTAAATGTGGCTATTTTTAAATTGTAACTATATATTTTAACAAAATTGTAGCCATAGATTTTCACAACATTTTAGACATATATTTTCACACTATTTTACCTATATATTTTCACAATATTCTAACTCAATATTTGATTTATGCAATTTCAAAATATTTAGTATCAAATATATCGCAAGTTATTTAACTACAATAATATTAGGTTTATAACAGACAATTTATAGTACTACTAAATATAAATTAACCAATAATAAAATATTACAAACTGGTTGTGTAATATGCATTTTATTTGTTTTTAACAATATTTTGTTTAATTTATGTTTTTGGTCTTGAACATTTTAAATTTACTATCCATTATTGAGATATAACAATAATTATGAAAATTAAAAAACCATACTTTAAGTGAATTTAAACAAAATCTTTAATATATTCTGATAAATATATATTAATTAGAATATAAATAATGAAAATAAATTACCTCATATTATAATGAAATAATAAAAATATTGCAGTAAGTACAAAATAATGTTTTAACAAAATCTTATATGCTAATACATACAAATATATTTTCAAGTATTATTATC